GATACATTCTGCTATACTTAAGACGTCGTTTATTGATCTATATTCATTGCCGCATGAGATTATGCAGGCAAACTAGAAGTGGAGGTGACACAAAATGCTTTTTCAGGATACAAAATTGCCTAGAATTAAACAGAACCTGTGAAAGATATTTCTGCTAAGTATTCAATTAATAATTAACTCAAGAAGTTTATAGTTATCTATTCTGATAACACGGCGCTCCTTCATATGAATCTGATATTCTCTTAGAGGATATACGGTTCCGGACCTTGGGTTGTAAGATTCACAGAGCACCTAATCATAGTGTTAATGGAACTGCTAAATGTATTACTACATCAGTTTAATATTAAATAAGGAAGAGATCCATTTTGAATAAAGAGATTGGCTAAATCGGAAGAAGTATGCGGCTGAATAGTAAGAATTAAGCATTCTTCGCTGTACCATAAAATGTGCGGAGGACAAGATATTGCAATAATTATATTTAAGAGTTTCTCTTGTTCCGTTACGGGAGCCCCTGACTACTACAAATGTGCTAACGCGGTTCGATTAATTCGGTTGAGGAGATTACCTATTATGGGCAAAATATAAGAAAAGAAGGAATCAAGGGGTGTGAGTATTACACCCCTATGTAAAGCAACGGACGATACAGTGACATGAAAGTATGCCAATCCGAATCAAATCGGAATCGATAGGGAATGACGAGAATAATGATAAACAACTTGATTGTGATTACCCCCAGATATATATAATACGAGAGGGAACAAAGATAGTGAATAAATTGTGGGGGTGGTTATAACATATTACAGCAAATAGGTCATAGAGATTAGGAAGAAATTCCAGTATTGAATCATGAAGAGAAACTGACAATAACAGATATATGTGATTATAACGTCTTCATTTCTGCATATGATGAATGGCAGTAAACTAACGAAACAACATACGCCATTCCTCATTTGGAGCGGTTAAGCCATTTTACCTTATGAGTATGAACTGGTAATGCATCAATTCT